TCATATTTGCAAAATCTTCTAAAAATATCTATAAATAATATTCTCTAAAGCTAATACTCAATAAGATATAAGTAATTATTTATCCAATCATATTGTGATATGAAGTGACTAATAATATATAATTAATTAATATTCTATAAAAGTTCATATCATAACAATATATATATGTATATATATATATATACATATACATATATACATATATCTACATATATATCTATATCTACATATACATCTACATATCTTTACATCTTGAACAAGACTTCTAATACAAGAAATTATTAATTAAAAATATGTAAGTTTTTTTAATATTAATAACTTCTTTAAAGTATCTAAAAAGAAATTTCATGAAGAATTATAATTACTTATATCTAATAATATAATAGCTAGTAATCTCTTAATAATAATTTTTAAATCATTTATATCTGTTAACTCTTAAAGTATTATAAATCCAGTATGCAGAAAGTAGAGATTCCAGTTAAAAAGAGAAAAAAGATAAGTAAACATAATTCTAACTAGTGTGATGCCAGAATTAAAATAATATATATTACTATAACACAAATAGTATGAATCAAATATTATAAAAATACTCTGAATCATATATACCAAATTAAGAATATTAACTAAATAAAATAATTAGAAGTAATTAGACAGCTGGTAACTAATAAAGTAAGTAAATCATATAAATTATCAGCTATCAACATTATAATTAAGAAACTCATGATGAATAAGAAACTTGATATTATCATCTAAAAATTACATTGAACTGAAGTGGTAAAAATTCAATAAAATATATATAAATTACTAATTAATTAAATATCTTATAGATAAAAAAGATCTTGAATTTGATATCTAATATATTTTAAAATTTCTAATCAACAAAAATTATCAAGTTAAGTACTTTAAGATTATCTAGTAATTACAAAAAATATTATAAAATCTCTGCTTTACAAATTATAATTAATTGAAAAAACTATAATACCATGAATAGCTAACTTTTATAAACTTGATGCATAATACTAATAAATACCTGTGATAACTTTTTATCTTATATATTTGAGATGATTTCAGTTGCTAAAATGTGAGTACATATTTTTTCATTAGTAAGAAAGATAATGATACAGTAATTAAAATATTAAAGATGATTTATTAATTTGAATCTTATTAACTTTTTCATTATATATTATGTGATCAAAATAATATAGAAATGAATAATATTACAAATATCTTTCCTAATATTACATATAATAAACAAAATTATAATATTATTCTTTGTATCATATATATTAATGATAGAAGCTATAACTAGCTACAATTCTATTATAATTCTCTGATTAGCTATCACAACTCTATCATAATTCTCTAATTAGCTATCACAAGTCATAACTAGTTGAGAAGTTATCTTTAATATATATTATACAAATATAGCTATATAAAATTTATCATTTAGTGACACATAATCAAATAATCTTAGCTATACATAAAAAAATAAGTATCAATTATAAAGAGATTATTAAGAATACCATTATCATCTGTTTTATTTCTGAAATTATTCATTATATTAATTATAATTATACTAATAATATAAAAAAATAGACACTTTAGGCATATCTGCACTCTTCTCTTTTATTACAGATTATCTTAACAAATCTATTAAAATCTTATCATAGTGAACTCAAGAGAATAATAATAAAAAAATATGAATTAATAGGTAAGATGCAATTTATTATATAATTAATTATTTTAAATTTTCTAAGTTTGCTAGATCACATGATAAATTATATTTTTATTATATAATTTAGAAATATATTTCAAAATTATTAAACTTGATGACAAGAAATAGATTGATTTAGAAAAAATAACTCATAATTTTCATCAAAAATATATCTCTGTAATTGATCTTAATAATAAGATTCTTAAACAGATATATAAGTTTTCTTATCTCATTTAAAAGTTAATTATAAGTGAAGCTGTAGTTATGAATACAAGAATAATAAAGAGAAAGTTATTATTAGATCTATAAATATCCTAATACAATTATATATTTTTTTATTATTATTTGCTTTTATATTAATATATTCTTTATCAACATATTTTCAGTTCTAATAAGCTATTAACAATTAAAATTTGAAATAAATTTCATGAATATTTAAAAAGATTGATTTTAAAATATATAAATATTATGAAATAATTGAGCTATTTGAGTCAATTCAGACTCAAATAGAAAAAGAAACAGAGATACAAAGATTTCAAATTGATGAACTTATAGAAAGGATATAGGATAAGTATTGAAAAATTGAAAATGAAAATAATATAGAAGTAACTAAGATATTTATTACATGTTTAAATAAATTATTAGCTTTAGTTTTTAATAATAAAAAATATTAAATTTAAATAATTATATATATATATATATATTTGTTATAATTGTCTTTATATTTCTTAATTATTGTTAATTTTTTATGTTTGCTAATTTTAATTATCTTGTTTGCTATTATTATCTGATAATATATTTAGCTAATAATTATTTTTCACATAATATGAATAAATCACATAATATAATCTAGATTAAATTCTATATCACATAAAACTACCTAACTTTAATAGATTCTCTTTTTTGATGTTTAATATGCATTAATCTTAATGCAGATCAGATACTATATGCTAACTCAAATTAAACTCAAAGATACATTAACCAATTAGAATTTGAATCACAAGGAGAGAAGAGGAAATCAGCTTATAGTAGGGATCCAGAAAAATTTGAAACCAAATTTTTTTAAATTTTTCTAAATTTTTTTCAATTAGTCAAATTTTTCTAAATTTTTTGAGAATAGATAAGTTTTCAAATTTTTTTTCATCTGGATAACACTATCAGAATTTAAATATTACTATATTTATTATATATAAATCAGTATGTATATAATAGGAGTATTTATTCAGATTACATATTTTGTCTCTTTCTAACTATAACATATCAAATATCACCTAACAAAAAATTACAGTAATATCTTATACATAAAAATATTCTGATAACTTTTATGCTGGAAATTTTATTCTCATGTATCATTTTTGCTATTATATCATTAGCTATAATAATATTTCTTTTATTATCTCTCATTTACATATCAAAAAATATATAACAAAAAAAATAAATATATTGATAATGAATGATATAAATAGTAATAAGATATACAAATAGTTATATGAGCTGTAGAGATCAAAAAATCTATAATAAATAAGTTTCTTAAAATATGAATTAATGTAAATATTTCTCTTGAAAAAGTTAATAAATTTTAGTTATTTTTAAAAACTTATTATCATGAAGATAGTATTATTTCTACTGCTGATACTTTGCATCATAAATATTTGCTTAACTTATTTAAGAATCATATTCAAGCATTACAAATTAAGTTTTAAAAAAAACCTGTAGTAATTATTATTAATGAAACTACAGATTCTTGAACTCATAATATTGTAAATATATTATTCTATTATCATAATTCAATAAAGCTTATATCAGTTGATTACTTGTAAATAATTAATAATATAACTATTAAATAATTAATAGTTCAAATTTTGACTGAATGATCTATTCCTTTCTCAACTCCATGACTTTTTCTATCTGATTCAGTTATATATATAAAAAAATATTATCAAGAGATTTTACATCTATTAATATTACAACTTAAGCATAATACTTGTTCTGCATATATATTGAATTTGATTAGGTTAGTATTTATATAATTTTATAATTTTAATATAAATTAAATAATTTATATTTATTTATTTATTAAAGTGAAGCATGGATTTTAATTGATATTGTAAAGAAATTGTTAATAAATATCAAAAAAACTTTCATTTATTCCAAAAGTCATTATAATTATTACATAAATTATTTAATTTAGCATGGAATTCAAGAATATTCTCATCAAGAATCTCAAGCTACTGGTACTATATTAACATTACAGTTTATATCTTTATCAAATATTACTTAATAAAATTCTTGATTTGAAATAGCTTTTTATGTTTATAATTATTTGGAATATATACATGGATTTTATAAAGAAGAACAAGAACAACAAGAAAAAACAGAAATAATTGATACTATTAATATTATTTTTAATGATTCAAATAATAATACTTATATTGAAATTTATTTAGCATTTATTTGATATCAAGCACAACAATTTATTTCAGATTTAGATTTTTTTCAATCTAAATGCGATCCTCTTTTTCCTTTTGTAGAAGGATGTATTGAACAATTAAAAGCTTTTATTTCAAATGGCATTTCTATCAATGATTTTGGATATCATATTAGTAGTTCTTAAGTATAATCCTGATTCTTCTGCTTATAATTCTATTTTTCAATCTGCTTTTAGCACAGCATAAAAAAATTTTTTTGATCATTTTAATTCATATTCTTCTTGTTCTCTTTTTAAAGCAGCTCAATTAACTATTAATAATCGTGATATTCAAAAATATGATATTGAAATTTTTGAATTATCTAATCCTTCAATAGCTCTCATTCAAGAATGGGCTCTTTATTGTAATTTAGATTTAACAACAATAACTCATAATCAACTTTATATTTTTTGGAATAATATTGCATCTCATTTTCCTCTTTTAAGCAATATAGCATTTGATTATATTTGGTTACCTATTTCTTTCTGTGCTGTTGAAAGAAGTTTTTCATCTTTTAATAATATTTTAGCTGATAACCGTCAAAATTTAAGTGAAGAATCACTAAAAATGCTTAACACGATGTACTGTATTATTTGCAAAAATCAAATTTTTTTTGTATTATTCGCAAAAACCAAATTTTTTTTATTATCCAAACAAATTTCTTAAAATATAATCCAAATTTTTCCGGGTCCCTGGCTCATAGTAACTTTAAATCAGGTGATTTCTGGCACTCCCCTTACGTTCAACTGGTACTTCTGGTTTTTGCTAACCTTCCAGTTATTAATGTCAGAACCGATGACACTGTTTCAAAACAAAAAATGCCGGATTATACCTATTTTCGAAGCCTATGGTGGAAGGAAGGAAATATTCATCCAGAAGCAAAGTGGGAAGAAGCTACGTAAGTTTTTTCATGGTGGGCGGGTTATATATGAGCAAGACTGATTTTGGCTGATTACAACAAGGCTTCCACACGTGCTCGCTGAGGGCGTGACTTTGGACGAGTACGAACGTCGCACCGACGAGTTTAACGTTCATGGTTTATGGGAATGGACGAATTATAAAGTCTCGGTTTATGAACTTCCATTAGATCCACATGAAACTTGCGTTAGCGCAATTATTAAGTATATTAATCGGAGCTGGAGTGGTGTTGACGATACCGACGCCAGCATTATGGGCCAAGGAGCATCCCGTAAGCATTAGTCTATTAACTATCTAAGTTCTATTCATGATATCAAACTAATATTCTTTCTTTTAAAGGAACTCGTGCTGACCGTTCTGGAAAAGAGCCAGACGCATCGTATCGTCCAATGAAACCAAGAGTTCCTACACCAACCGGAAGTGATGGAAAGGTATCTTTTGTTTTTTCTATTAGTTTTGAGCCCTTTAACATTAAGTTTTGCATTTTCATGATTTTAGAGGAAACCATGGCCAAATATTATTGTGGAAGTCGCATATACTGAAAGTATAGAACACGTATTCGAAAAGGTGAAAGATTACTGGCTAAAGGATCTTAGTCGCGCACATGACGCAATAGTTGTTAAAATCGATCCGATTTTTGAGGACGAAACACCTTCACGCATGCGAGTAAGTTATTCTTCTTAAAATGTAAGTGATGTTTTATTGCTTGTGTATCATTCTAAAGAATAAACCCATGTAGGCGTGGCATTTTTGTTCCACTGACAGAAGAACACGAAGAGGAGAACTTCAACATCGAACTCATGTAATGTCAAATATAGGATAAATCATCTTTTCTACCAATTTTCAAAAATTTTTATTATGGATGGTTTATTATTTTTATTATTAGTTTGAGTTTGGCACTCATGATGGAGCCGGGAATCCGTTGAATATTTTGCAGGGTACACATTCTTATACTTTTTTTGATTTGATATATAAATCTTCAAAAATAATAACTGTACTCCTTTCTGGTAAGAATTTAGTTATATTAGAAATTTTATCTGGTATTATTATTTTAAATGTGATATCTTTTCTATATGATTTTGAAGTATTTGCAAAGATCTAGTATGTATTTTTTACTAATTCTCATTTCAGTTTAGAATGCTTTTCTATCAATATCAGATTGTTATTCTTAATATACTAATTATCTTTTTTCCTATTGAATATGTATTGAAGTTTTTTATCTAGTATAAGATTAATCATCATATTTATTTTTTACTATTAGAATCCTCATATACCAGTAATCTGAATGGAATATTTGGAGAATATTTATTATCTTTTATTCATTTTGAAGATTTTTTAGATATCTCATTGAGTTAATATACATATATGGATATACCTTTTTCTTTCATTCCAAATAAACTAAGAATACTAATTTACTATATTAAAAAAATTTATATTATATGTTTTTATTTATTATATGTTAAATAACTCTTTTCTTCTAATATATACTTGATATAAGAAAATAAATCATAATTGAGTGAAATATAAATAAGATTTATATCTTGCTTTTTATATATATCTCACTTTTTTTAATTATTATAATAATAGTATTAGACATCCTGAAATTCAAATATTAATTTTAATTCTTCATTATATCTATCTAATTGCATCTTATTCAAAAATAATAATTTACAAGATAAAAATTTCTTATTTAACAGATCTTTAAAAATATATCTACAGTAATACTCATTAATATGATGAAAGCAAAATAAATATTATTTAAAATTTCTAGCTATTAATAGATATAGATATTTCTACTGATAAGTGTCATTCTTATAAAATCAGAAGAATACATCTAGATTATTTATTCTATCAGTTTTTTCAAGATATTATCTACTATACTTTTTAGTAAATTTTTCAGCTTGAATTAGCTTGTTATTCAAAGTATATATAAAGTGAACTAATCCAATAGGATAATATTTCTGCATAAACTCATCTGAAAAATACTATATTTTTTCTGGATTTTTAATAATTTGAATTTCTTCTTGCTTAAATAGCTTTTTTGGATTTCAACCTATTAAATACTTAGTTGAATCAATCAGCTTATTCTTGAAATAATATAAGATTGATTGTGATGAATTCTTATTAATAATAACTTTTTTAATTTTATAAATTTGTAATGACCAGTATGGATCAGTTACTCTATACCTATAATCATCTTCTAACTTATCAGATTTTAATAAATATCTTACTATAATATCTTTCTATAATTTTTATTTATATTTTCTAATAGATCTCTTAGTTTTACTAGAAGATTTTGATTTAACTTCTTTTAATATCATAATATGTACTAGTATTATATCTAGTAATAGAAGTTGTAACTAGTTATAACTTGTCATAATTTTCTGATTGGTTATCACAACTCTGTTATAATTTTCTAATTGGCTATTACAAGCTGTAATTAATTGAGAAATCATCTTTAGTCATATCAATAAGATGAATTTTACTATTATTCATATAATCTAAGATTTTCTGAAGAGCCTTATTTCATAGCTTTGATTACTTTTCTTCTGTTAATCAGCCTTTAATAGCATATTAAATTTTATATATTGATTTTGCTACATTTTTTTTAATATCTTAATAAATATTAAGCTCTCAAAATTATAAAGATTAATAACTTTTATAATAATATTATATTGTAATCAATCACCTATTTATGTGATGCAGTAGATATGATACAGTATATAATGCAATTACAGTATGTGGTATAATAATCACTGATCACTACTAAATTAGATGAATAAGTAATTTATATTAATTAATCTTATTTATAATTAATTCTATTTTT